CCCCCCCCCCTTATCACAGAACCAGGAGGGCCAGAGCCGCCACTCTTGGCAACGCCAGGTCAAGGTGATCACGTGTGCCCTCTGGGTAAAGCAGAGCACCTGGGCTGACAGGGTCAGCAGCGTGTTCAAGGTCACACAGCAAACTGGTGGGGCGGGCACCTCCCGCAGAGCCACCGCCAGGCTGGGGGAGGACCTGCTCTCTCTCCCCCGTTTCACCTGCCACTTGGAGCCGTCAATGAGTAACTTGGACATTTCTCAGGCTTCCTGAGGAAGGGTTCCCTCGACGGTCTAAGCTGTTCCTACATCTCCCCAGGCCTTGGGGGATTGCCCCCCGCCCCCGCTTTAACTGGTCTGAATTAACCTCTGAGTTCGAGATCAGGGGAGGGAACATCAATAACACGATGCTGGCTTTAGCCTGGAATGAGAGTCCAAAAACTGGATCCTGACTCTCTTCCCCTGTCTGGGCCTGGCTTCTGATCTATACAGTGAGGGGTAGGATTCTTAGGTCCTTGCTGCCACTCCAGCAGTTCCCGCACCAGCCTCCCAGGGTCACCCCAGAGGGCGCTGCAGTGGGAACAGAGAATCCAGGAGCCGGCACCCATCTCTGCTGAGCGGACTTCCCTGGGCCTGGCTGCTGGCAGGGAGGGGGGTGAGCACCGAGGAGGGGGACTGCCAGTGGCCAGGGCCAAATCCCAGCGAGTGAGCCAAGGACTGTAGCATCACACTGACTCCGCACGGCAGCCTCAGGAGACAGAGCTTACTGGCCCCATTTTATCATGGAGAAAACCGAGGCTCTAAGGAGCGATGTGTCAGTGCCTCGTCCGGAGCCGCCTGCTGGGAAGTGACAGAGGTAGGTCTAGGACCAGTCTTTTTTTCAATTTTCTTTTCCTTTTTTAAAAATCTTTTAAAAATGTTTAGTTTTAAAGGGGAGAGAGACAGAGTACAAACAGGGGAGGGGCAGAGAGAGAGAGAGGGGGACACAGAATCCGAGGCAGGCTCCAGGCTCTGAGCTGTCAGCACGGAGTCCGATGCGGGGCTCGAACTCAAGAGCCGTGAGATCACGACCTGATCCAGAGTCGGACGCTTGACTGACTGAGCCACCCAGGTGCCCCCTCTTCTAAAAATTTTCTATTGAAGTATAGTTGACACACATATTATGTCGTTCCAAGTGTACAACATAGAGATTTGACATTTGTCTACACGAGGACCAGTCTGACTACAAATCCCACTACATCCGTGCTGCCAAAGCTGTTTTGACATTATTATTCCATAATTTTGAAATTACCCACATTCCTAGAAGGGGCCTTTGACTAAACCATTAAGTGACCAAGCCAATTAGTATATTTCAGTCTGGCTCTGGGGTGTATCTGGGACTTCTTGTCTCTTGGCAGCAATGTTCCGATCTAAAGAAATTTGTTCGGGCTGGGTTTTGGAATGCCCAGGCACAGCCCTGCTGGAGAGACTGGGGAGGGCGGGCAGCCCGGGATTGAAACACAGGCTTTCTTGTGCTACGGCTGCTCCCGCTTACTGGGGACACGTCTCCATTTCCCAGTGCCCGGGAACCGCAGGCCCGGTATGGGCTTAGCCCTCTGCAGCCCGGCTGGTAGGCGGCAGGTTCAGATCATGGCTCAGGGGCTGGTAGCAGATGCAGGAAGGGGCCTCCCCCGGCCAGTTTTCCTCCAGCCTCTCCTTTCTGTTTTCTCCTTATCCTTTCCTGTCCGTCGCTGGGCCTGGGAACAAAAATCCCTCCCCCCCCTCACCCCTGCCATGGGCATCAAGTGTCCTTCTCAGAAATGACGAGGTGAGAGGGTACAATAGGGGAGAGGAGAGGCCTAGACGGGCAGCCCACCATGACCCCCAGCCCTCCACATCCCCCTCCCATCTCCCCAGCCTCCTGCTGCTCCACTGGCATCCGGGCCCTACTTGAGTCTTCGTGTCTTGCCTCTGTCTCTCGGTCTCTGTCTCTGACTCCGTCTGAGTGTCACCCCGTACAACTCCCACATCAGCCTCCCAAGTCTCCAGGCCGTCCTGTGTGGGGTCACAAGACGAGCTTCCTCAAGCACGTTTCTCATTTGACCAGCAACATCCAGCAGCCCCGGAGGGCGCACCTTCTCAGGGCCGAGCAAGGTGCCAGGCATGGGGGCCTCTGCACTAACGGCTGCAGCGGATGCCTTGGGAGGCCTGCAGTGGGGCCAGCGGTTATAACACGAAGGGTTTGGAGCTGCCATGACACCAGCAGAGGGACCCCTGGGGGCTCATGTTCCGGTGAACAGCCGTTCCCCCATTGCCTCTAAGCCTGCCAAACGAGGCTCTGCTGACTCTGGCCCCTGCTCTCTTCTGGCCGCCCCTCTCCCCAGCCCTGCTGAGTCTGTGGCCCAGCAGCAGCCCTTTTACACACACGCGCAAGCTCTGTCTCTGTCTCTGCCGCTGTCTCTCTCTCTCTCTCTCCTCCATGGAAAAGCAGCATGGCATAGGGGTTATCAAGATGATCTGGGTTTGAGTCCAGACTGTCAGTGGCTTTTGCAGTCTTTCTCTGCCTCAGTTTACTGGGGGGTCAAAGAGGCACAACTGCGAAGCCTACCCGCGGGCACTGTCGTGTGCACCAAATGTCTCCGGCACCGTAAGCACATTAGTTGTCATTTTCTTGTCTCGCAGCCTTCCTTCCCTCTCAGTTTCCCGATCCTGGGACTTTGCTACAGGGCTGATCATTAACCACGTTCGTCTAGGTTTCTCAGGGCAATAATGATAATGTGTTAATTCTTTAAGAGAGTGTGTGCCCTTGACGTGGGACCTCCATGCGTTACCGTAAAGTGGTGAGTGAGGTGGTGGAAAGGGCAAGCCATCCCGTGTGCCAGCTCAATGGGGAGAATATCTGAAGGGGAGACAGGGGACCCTCTTGCCATCCCTGAAGTGAGGCCAGCCAGGATGAGGCTGGTTCCATGCCCAACATGGGGCTTGAACTCCCAACCCTGAGATCCTTGTGCAGGCAGAGGAAAGGGAAAGAGAGAGAGAGAGAGAGCGCGCTATAATGAGAAGCTTGCTGTGTTCATCACCTGTGGAGAAGTGGGCATCGCCTCTGTGCTGGGCACCGGGGAGGAAAGGGAGATTCGGAGGCCAGGTTGCAGGAGGCGGAAATGCATGAACCTCAGTGAGCAGTCCAGGCTGTCAGCACCGGGGACCTGCAGAGCAGGGTGGGGGAGGATGCCAGAGGGAACAGGATGGTGGAGGGAACCCGGGAAAGACCTCAACAGGCCTCCCCACAACACAGCCCTCCCTGTCCTCCTCCTAGTGGCCGAAGTGAAGGGAGTCCCCTCTCCCTGCTCACGCAGGGTTGGGATCAGGCAGGGAACGTGATCAGTTATCTGCCCAGCAGATCAGCCCGGAAACAAGAAAAGAGAAAATAACTGATGCTATCAGCAGAGCCCTTCTGATAAAGGATTTAATCAAAGATGGGCCAGAAGGAGACGCTGAGGGCCCCGGGGGTCAGAGGCAAGCACTTCTGGTGAAGGACGCAGCCCGAGGGCTCTCTTGGGGGCCCCCTTCTTTTCCTTAATGTGCTGGAAACTCACATATGTCTTCTGGCCACACACCTCCTCCCGCCCACCTCTCCAGGTCCAGCTGCCAGAACAGCTGTTCATAATCTGAGAAATTTCCTTTATAGCCTCTGTCTTCCAGAACCTTTTTTTTTTTTTTTAAGTAGGTTTCATGCCCAACCTGGGGCTTGAACTCCCAACCCTGAGATCAAGAGTAGTATCTTCTGCCAACTGAGCAGGCCAGGCATCCCCAGAACCTTCTTGCTGCCCAACCTCCTTCACTCACATTAGCCTTTCAGCCTGGTTCCAGAAAATACAAGGCATCCTTCCTTGCTCAGAGTCTGCTTATTAGGTAGGGGGTACCAAAAAGGTCTTGAGAGAGCCCTAGACATTCCATTTACTCACTCATGGGGGGACAGGCCCTCAGCCTGCCTGCTGTGGGCTCCTCTGGGGGAAAGTCACCTCCCAGACACCTCTCAGTGAGGACAGCCACCGGGCCTCCCTTCCAGACACTTGGAGAGTCAAGATCTCTGTCCAAGGTGGGGAGGCACCAAATTACCCAAAGACCTCGGCTGTGGGCTTTGGTTCAGGTGGCTTAGCTTGGCGCCTACAAAGGGCCTGGCCGTCTTGCCATTCCTGTGTGGGAAGAGCGCATTGCAGCCCTGCTGGGGGGTGGGAGGGGATGTTTTGGAAATCGGGTCCCACCCCGGGTCCCACCTCCAGTTTCATGCGTTCGGCACCGTACCCATGAGACACTCGAAGCAGGCTCCTCCTGTACATCCATGAGAGGAGCAGAAATATCTTTGTATGTAATCTTTTCTAAGTAAGCCATTGATTTATTTATAAGCTTTTAAAAATATTTATCTTTAGACGTTTATTTCTGAGAGGCAGAGCGCGGGGCAGGGGTGGGGCAGGGTGGGGGCGGACAGAGGATCCCAAGCAGGCTCCGCGCTGATAGTGGCGAGCCAGATGTGGGGCTCAAACTCAGATCCTGAGCCAAGCTGAAGTCGGTTGCTCAACCGGCTGAGCCACTCAAGCGCCCTAAAGGTTTTATTTTTAAGTAATCTCAATGTGGGGTCAAATCCACAACCCCGAGATCAAGAGTCGTACGCTCTACTGGCTGAGCCAGGCAGACGCCCCTATCCGCAATTTGAAGTTGAAACTCGCTTGTAAGTAAAATCATAGCAGGTGCACTTTGCTAAGTGCCATCACGTGCCGCTTCACACGGTTTCTTGAGTTCTTACGGCCGCCCTATGAGGTAGGGCTTGTTACCCGAGAAGACTGGGGCACAAGAAACATCTCGCCTGTGAACCCCTAGCTAACAAGTGACAGAGCTTCTTCAGCAGCCCCCTCCCCCCTCTACCAGAAGCTTCCCCTGAGGCTGCCCAGCGAGCGGGGGACAAGGAGGGGGCTCTTTATTTGAAGGCCCCAGGCCCCTCCCCTGACCTCACCCCTCTGCTACCGTAGCCTGGCCCAGTCGTTATGGGCCCTCTTCACCTCATCCCTGGCCATCTCCCTGGTGTTTGCCATCATCCCCTTCTGTCGAGATGTGAAGGTGCTGGCCTCTGTCATGGCACTGGCGGGCCTAGCCATGGGCTGCATCGACACGGTGGCCAACATGCAGCTGGTGAGGGTCTACCAGAAGGACTCGGCCATCTTCCTCCAGGTGAGCCTGCATGCAGCCACGGGGCTGGGTGGTCACGGGGAGCTCCCGGGAACCTGTCACCTCTCCCAGCCCCCTCCCTGGGGTGAGGCGTCTTTCACTGGAGGCCAGGTGGTAATGCAAAAAGAGAAAAGAGCACCGGGGTCTTGGTTTTATGTGGCCACCTCCAGCTGGGCCACACTGGGCTGCTATCTCTGGACTCGGGCCTCCTCAGCTCTAAAGTAGGGTCATGCTCCCTGCGTGCAGGGTGGTCCCAGGGACCCAGGTGCTCCAGAGAAGAGGTGCTTTGTGAATCGGAGTGTGCCGTGACGGGAGGGCTTGCTGTTTTCTCAGCTCCTTGCCGGTGTCTGTATTTCTCTTCCTATCCAGCCCTTCCCTCTATCAAGCTCCCTTCCCCTTTGGGGTGTTAGCTGGTAGGTGTTATCATGGGAACAGCCCCCAGCTGGAGTTAAGATCTGGGAAAGAAGGAAGCGGGAGGGAGGGAATTGGCCACTGTCACCCAGTTATCCCCGGACAAGAAGGTGACTGAGAGGAACTTCTGTCCTCATCTCTCCTGTGTCCCCATCGCTTCCCACTCTGGGGCCAGGCAGGCACTCCCCAGATGGAACACAAAGTTGGGGGGGGAGGGTATGAAGCCTGAGCCATTCCCCCACCCACACCACTTCTCTTCCCCCCTCCAGGTTCTCCATTTCTTTGTGGGCTTTGGCGCCCTGCTGAGCCCCCTCATTGCCGACCCCTTCCTGTCTGAGGCCAACTGCTTGCCCGCCAACGGCACGGCCAATGCCACCTCTGGAAGCCACCTGTTCCACGCCTCCAGGATCCTAGGCCAGCACCACACCGAGGCGTGGCGTTGGTCCAACCACTCGCTCTCCGGGCTGCCTGCGCAGGACCGGGCAGGGACCCGCGTGTCGTATGCCTTCTGGATCATGGCCCTGATCAATGTGAGTGCCACCGGGGCAGGGCCGGGTGGGGACAAGTGGACCGTCACACGTGTCAGTCCATAGCAGCTCCCAGTGTAGATTCTTATGATTCCGAGCAGTGTGCTGGGCTCAAGCGTGCCCTCAGGAAGGCAAGGGGGCGGGAAGACTAACCCCCCCCCCCCCCGGGATGCATCTGAATACAAACGGGGTCGCAGGAGATCATCTTGAAGGTCCTCAGTTGTCACAATCCATGATTGCGATTCTCCAGGGAGGTAAAGCCACGAGCAGCTTTAGCACAACGGAATCAGGGTCAACTTTTAAGCCATCCGAGGCTCCATGGGAAACCAGCTCTCTCCCTCCAAGGCCAGATGAAGGGGCTCTGGGACAGAGCACCCCAGGCTGTATGGGGCTCTTCCCCGGGCTTCCTCATCGCTGGTGGGATTCCCCTGTGTCCTGCTGTGAGGTGGGCTCCCGTGGGGGTCAAGGGATGAACAAGATGACCACACCATGGCTGCCATGGTGGGAGCAGGGTAGAGAGACCACCTGCCTGTACTGGGTCAGGTACTGAGGCCCCTCTGCACCCCGGCTCTCATCCTCCCTGTCAGCACCGACTCTGTCCCTGGCCGGAAACCTCTGGTGGTCTTTAACCCAAGACAGATTCCCTGCCAGTAGCCCAGGCTGGGGCCAGAGGGACAGGTGGGGAGACGCCCCTACCCTCTCTCCAGCTTGGGAAGTACCGCGAGGAACAGCGGGAGCATCCCTGGCCCCCTGGCTCGGCCCGACCTGGGCTGCGGGTGCGGAATATTCCAGGCGGCCATTGGCCCGGCTGCGGGATGGAGGCAACGTATGGCCCGTCGTGACGAAGGGCCTCGGTTTGCTCTGGGCCCACGTGTCACCGCTCTGCAGTGGCTGCCCAGCTGCGATGCCGTGCACGTAGCACTGAAAGGGGTCTTCGAGATCATCCAGTCCCCCTGAGCAGCACAGCAGGGGGCGTCATGCCGTCCCTGGCACAAGGGCCCGAGGAGTGGCTGGCAAGACGCTGGCCAGGCTCTCACCCCGACTGCCAGCACCAGCCTCCTTCCTGCTGCCCCATAGCAAGTGCTCGTTTTTTCTTTCTTCGTGACTTTCCTTTCCTTGTACCAGAATCTTCACCAGGGGCTCTGAAAAACACACGCCCCCCTCTCACCCTTTCCGTTTTCTGCCCATGCCTGTCACTGCTTTGGAAACAACCCAGCTTCGGGCCTGTGCCCTCCAGGGGGGCACCTGTAGGGGGAAGCGTCGCCATCAGTACCGTGTCAAAGCTGAGACGCCAGGACCAGGAAGCCGGAAGGTCCAGTGTCAGCCCAAGCCCTGTTTTCTCTCGCCCCACAAGGTGCAGCCTGGAGGCACTTTGTTTGTGGCAGGATGTCCGGACTTTTTTGTTGGTTTGTTTCTGAAGATAAACAGTCCACCACAGAAGAGAATGGGGCTGTGCATGCTTGTGGGCGCACGCACACACACACACACACACACACACACACACAGGCAGCCTCCCCAGAACTCTTGGACTCTCCAGGTGGAGCCTTTGCCTTCTCTGAATGGGCTTCTTATAAAGACAGGCTGTGTTCTTACCAGGCAACCCCAGCCAATCCTCTGTGAAGCCCTTCCCACCGCCCACCTCCCTGGAAAGCCCCGCTGGAGTGACCGGGCTCTTTCACAGCTGTTTCCCCTCGGCCTTCACCCAGGCATTCTGCCACCGCAGGCCTCTGTGTGTGGGTTTCCTGTTTCCCCCATCAGACTGGAGGGAGGGTGTGACTCCCCCCATCAGACCTGGGACTCCCGAGGGCAGGGGTCGTCTCCTCCCACTGAGGCCTGATTTGCGGGGCGTGTGACTTGTTATCTTTGAGTGTGGAGGGAGGCTCCCAAGGTGCCCTCAGGGGGCGGGAGCCCTGGGAAAATGCCACCCCCCAGCCCGGGGCACCAGCCTGCCTCCAGGGAGGGAGAGACCGCCTCAGAGCAGCACCAGCCCAGCTGCCTCCCATCTCTGTCAGCGCGGAGATGCCCGGCAGGCTCTGGGCAACTTGCACAGCTCCCTGGGCTTCCTCTCTGTCCTAAGCAAAAGGAACTCGATTTATGGTGCAGCAGGGAGGGCAGAGGGCAGACTCGATGGGGAGCTTCCTGTCAGTGAGGGCGGTGAGACGCAGGCAGGGCACCTGAGGGAGGCGGTGGAGGCTTCTCCAGGCAACCGCAGGGGCAGGAGCTATTTCTCATCGCCCTGAGGAGTTCGCTAAACCCAAGTGGCTTGATGTAAAATAGCAACGCACACAACACCGGGCTCGTGGGCGCGGGTGTTGCCCGGACTGTGCATCTTTCCAGCAAAGGAGTCCGTGTCCCGGTTTTCCTGTTTAGACAGCGAGCCTCTGGGGACAGGCCCTCTACCTCCTCGGGTATAACATCACCCACACAAGCCCTGAGGTGGGGTCTGACCAGACAGAATCAGGGTGCCCCGGGCTCCAGTCCAGCTCCGCCCTTCCCTCCCCCGTCAGCCAGTGACCAGGCACTAACACTCTCTGGTCTCTCGCTTACCGATCTGGTCTCTTCCAGTTGTAACGGGTGATGACAAAGTGACAGTTTTGAGCCTCAGGTCGCCCCATCTGGAAAATGGGGATAATGAACCAAAGCAGACCTTCTTCGTGAGGTGTCATGTGATCTCCCAGCATGAAGGAGTGTGTGTGTGTGGGGGGGGGGGGGTCCCGCTTCGGCACCATTCAGAATAAGGACCTTAGAAACAACTTTATCTCTGACATCTCTCATGTACCAGCGGGGAGGCCTGGTGTGAGTCCCAAGATTTGCATGTGACAAGGAGCTGTCTTCAGAAAAACAGATGTGGTTAAGGTGGGACAGTCAATACACCTGGTGGCTTTCGCTGGGGATGGCCTTTAGGTGGACACCCGTAGAAAAGAACCGTCTTCTCTCAGGACTGTGCGGACCCGTGCCGGTCGACCCCGTGGTGGTGTGTGCAGGTGAGGCACGGGAAGGGGAGAGCCTGATGGGAACAGGGCTCTCCTGACCCTCTGCCCACCCCCCCTCCCCCCAGCTCCCGGTGCCCATGGCTGTGCTGTTTCTGCTATCCAAAGAGCGGCTGCTGGCCTGCTGCCCTCAGAGGAGGCCCCTGCTCCTGTCTGCAGATGAGCTGGCCCTGGAGACGCAGCCTCCCGAGAAGGAAGACGCCTCCTCACTGCCCCCAAAGTTTCAGCCACACCCAGGTGGGGACTCTAATGAACTTTCACGCTCACGGCCCCACACCGAGGCTTCCCTAGTGACCCCATCCCCCGGAGGGTGAACGTAGATCACAGGCGATGATGGTTGGAAGCAAACCCCGGGCACCGATGGTCCCGTTTGGCAAGACACGGACCAGCCTGGCCGCAGGAGTGGGGCAGGCAGGCTTCTGGCTCCAGCCTGCACTCTGCCTCAGCCTGCCTGTGTGACCTTGGGCAAGTGACGCGATCTCCCTGAGCCTCGCTTCCACCAGGACTGAGATGGACAGGAGCTGCCCCTGACAGCTGGCTGGAAGTTAGGGAAGGTGGGCGGCAGTAACTGGTCCCCAACCTGCCAGGCTCGTCCATCTGGCAGCCGCTTACCCCGGGCCTGCAGAGGGGAAGGAGCAGAAGCTGAGACTCAGCCCTGTTCTCGTGTCTCATCCAGGGCACGAGGACCTGTTCGGCTGCTGGCAGAGGAAGAACTTCAAAGGAGCCCCTTACTCCTTCTTCGCCATCCACATCACAGCCGCCCTGGTCCTGTTCATGACCGACGGGATGACGGTGAGCCTGCCCGCCTCCCCGACGCTCAAGCTAAGGGCGGCAGGAGAAAGAGGGGAGCTTCAAGGTGTCCTAGAGGGCTCACCTGTTGTGCAGTCAACTCATACATTTAAACTAAATAAAAGTCCTAGGGGGCGGGGACTGTCTGAAGAATCGTTCGCAGCCCCTGGGTACTATGGTCTTCTGTCCCAGCCAGCTGTTTTTATTCTCCTTAACTCTGTGGGTAGGGGCCCCTCTGGTTTGTTACCAAGTGCAAGCTACCCACGTTTCTTGAGAGGCAGAGGTCTGTTCCTCCAGATAGAGGTCATGCCGTGTAAACGCGAGGGCACGCTGCTTCCCGGAACGCGTTCCAAACCTCAGCTTCTCAGGCCATGTTGTAAACAAGCTACGGTCAAGATTTGGGCCCAGCGATTTATTCTACTAGTGACCTCTGTTAATACTGTTTAGTGCCTTTTTCCAGAAATCTCGTAGGATTAGATCGGGATACTTTTGAATGGCCGATTGATTAACCGATTGCCATGCTGGGGCCTCTCCGAAGAGAAGGCCCTAAAACAGGTGACCCAGTGGGAAATACTCGTGACAGTACTGGTTGACTCCCAACTCTCAGTGTGACCTTGGGCGAGTCACTTCTCTCCGCCCCCTCCTCCGTAGAACGAGACGCGACATGTGTGCCCACCTTGTTTTCAGCTGTGGTGCCCTTCCTTCAACAAGAAACCGTCCGTGGAATCCTCATAAATGAGACGTGTGGTTGTGCTCTGCTCTGGTGGGGAGGGGGGAGCGGCCCAGACCTCTCGAGACCCCCTGGGGAGACCCGGAGACACCCCTCTCCCTGTGTCCCCAGGCCTGCGCCTCTGGGCCGGTGGAATGTGTAAGCTCTACCTCCCCAGGGTCTGTCCTCTGCTCGGGCCGCGAGTGTTGTGTGATGTTGGCCCTAGGCCCACCTTTGAGCTTCTAGAAGCAGGACCAGTCCTCCCTCAGCCCTCAGCACACCTGCCCCGACCTGGTCTTCCTTCTCTGAGGGCTCAGCTGTGCCGCAGGTGTGCTCAGCAGGGCCCGTCTCTCCACAGGGGGAGTACTCAGCTTTTGTATACAGCTATGCAGTGGAGAAGCCGCTGTCTGTGGGGCACAAGGTGGCTGGTTACCTCCCCAGCCTCTTCTGGGGCTTCATCACCCTGGGTCGGCTCATCTCCATTCCCATCTCCTCCAAAGTGAAGCCAGCCACCATGGTGTTCGTCAATGTGGTAAGTGGCCTCCTTTCACTTCTTGGAGACGCAGGAGGACCAGCCACTCCTGGCCCTACCACTGCCCCAGGACATTTGCTCGGGACTGGACAGGGAGGGAATGCAGGAGTAGAGGGAGGAGAGCAGGGGGGAGAGGGATGCCGGTGAGGAAGGGGGGAATCCAGAAGATGGAGCCTATCTGTGTGACCTTGGAAAAATCCCTTTCCCTCTCTGGGCCTCTGATTTTGTACCCATCAGAGAAAGGGGCCGTAGGAGGTGGTTACTGCCATGCGTGGAGCAGATCTCAGCTGACAGTCTGCCCAGAGTACAAGTGAAGCGGGTGCTGGCCTTGGTCCTCCTGTGTGACCTTGGCGCCCAGCTGGTCAGAGCCCCATGGCCAGCGGAGGCCAGGCATCCCCTGGCCTTCAGAAATCACCGTGTCTGGGCTGGAGCCTAGGAATCTGCATTTTGAAACTCTGCCAAACGATTCTCAAGTACCAGGCTGGAATGTAGGATGTTATTCAGGGAACTGGTCTGCCCAGAAGGCAGGGGTTCCAGGCCCAAGCGATGGGGTCAGACTTTCAACCTGACGTGGGTCCATGTCACTATCTATGACAAAACGTCCAGATTACAGATTAGGGTCGTCTAGCCCAGCCTCCCTCCAGGGCTCAAATCACCTCTGTAACATCCCCTCCAGGGAGTCCACAGTCTGTTTAGTAACCTCCAGTGACTGGGAACTCACTCCCTTTCCAGGCAGCCCGACCCATTGCCAGAAAGTACTTCCCTGAGTCAAGTTTCTAGCGGCAAGGGGGTTCGGAAATAATGTTGGGGCTACAAACACCAAAGATTGTGAGCGCCAAGAAAAGCCTTTATATCTGACCTTGTGCTGGTTGATGACTTTTAAGAAAGAAATTACTTTTTTTTTCAGTCTTTCTTTCTTTCTTTCTTTCTTTTTAATTTTTTTTAACGTTTTATTTATTTTTGAGACAG